GAAGAAGAAGAAGAAGAAGAAGAAGAAGAAGAAGAAGAAGAAGAAGAAGAAGAAGAAAGAAGAAGAAGAAGAAGAAGAAAGAAGTTCAATATGTACCCCAAAGGGTGGCACCGTGAATGCTTCAGATCAGATATTCTTATCTCACTTTGCCCTTAAGGGGCAAAATCTGCCATTTGCTTCTAAGTGATGCCAGTTTGTTTCCTGGCAGGACAGGGCCCTCTAGCTCCTAATTCCAGATTCTTAACTGACTTCCAAAGGATAAGTGCAGCGTTTGCTGTGTCGAGCTTGAACAGCATGACAGCAGCGTGACACAGAAAAGGACCCGACTCCTTGAAAACTCCTGTGGGGGTGGTGAGCACAAGGGGAGCGTCTGTTCAGGCCCACAGTCCGGCACACCTTCATCCCCTGTGGCCCAGAACTGACCTGTGTTCCAGGAAGATCCCTTCCTACCATATTGATTCGCTGTCCCCTTCTTTGCTTCTCAGAAACTGGGCGTCTACAACACCAGTAAGACAGCCCTGTTGGGCCTCTGCAAGTCCCTGGCCGTGGAGCTGGCTCCAAAAGGCATCCGCGTGAACTGCATAGCGCCAGGAATTACCAAGACTGACTTCGGCCTAGGGGTGAAAGTGGTAAATGCCTTCTGCTATCAATCCCCCCCCCCCCCCGCCGCCCCTTCTCCATGTGTCCTCGGGTCCCTTTTCAGACTTCCATCTGAATGGAGGCCCACAGAGCCTGAACCTGCAGCCAGAGCCCCCTCCTAAGGTCAGAGTTTGGGCAGCAACCCCTTAATCTTCTGCAGAAGAGTGAGGCTCTCCGTCTTCTTCGAGTAGACTAGTCTTCATCTCAGGCTCCCACAGAGGTGTGGGTCAGCCATGATGCTCTTCTCACGCCATCATAACACCAGTCCTCTGCCTCATACTGGCTTTCAAATCTCTTCCTAGGAGAAAACAATGCTGGACATGCTGCCTAACCTGAATAAAGTCTATGGATTGCAGCGGTAGGTAGGGCTCCGGGCTTCCGTGCTTTGTGTTTCGTTTGAGGGAAAATTATATTTCAAGGTGAAAAAGGCCTCGTGGTTTTTTTTTCTTCCACTCTGCCAGCTGCTTCCCTTTTTGGGAGTCCTGAGTTGGGGGCAGGAGGGCAGATATGAGTCCAATAGCCATCACCTCTGACTGAGCCTGGTGAATGCTAGGTGCCGGTCCCAGACTGCTCTCTCTGCGGAAGTCCGGATCATAGCTCAGTGTTTCTGGTGACCTCATCTCTTCTTTCCTTCAGGTTAGGGGAGCCAGAAGACTGCGCCGGGATCGTATCTTTCCTATGCTCCTCAGATGCCAGCTACATCACCGGGGAGAACATCATAGCAGCTGGCTTCTCCCCTAGACTGTGAAGACACAACTTGACTTAGAGACAGAACTGAGGTCCTCAAGCAGAAAACAGAGGGCTCGGTGCGATGTAGGTGAAGGGCCTTAGTGTGTGCTTGGGGTCCAGGTCCATATAGGGAACGCATACTTAAAAATGGTGAAGGAAAGCAAGTGTTTAACGTTCTCATTTGGAATAAATCTGTCTGGATACTTCTGGATTTGCTCCTGTTGGCGTAGCGATCCACACGGCCCTCTTGACCTAGAAGCTTCATCCTCGGGTTATTGTATTTTCTTACTGTCCCTCAACCCCAACAGCTTTTTTAAAAATCCTTCCATCTCTTCTTTCATTATTTTTCTGTGAGGTTGGAAATCAGGCTAGATCCTTCCAGCCTGCTCTTCCAGATTCACCCTTTACTTAGTGCCCTGGGACAGTCTGTGGAAATGCTTCAGACTTTTGCCTCTGGCTTGCAGGCAAGTTTGGACAGTTGGAAGTAGATTGCAGGTCAGGATGATGAGGTCAGAGAACGTATTTCTCAGGCTCCCTTCATGTCTGGGTTCTTCTGTCTACGAAAGGGAGCTTTTGTTGGGTGACACCTCCCAAACGGGTAAAGTTCCATGACTTCTTACTTGTGTCTTCTGGTCTAGGTGTGATAATGACTCTTTATCTTGTTGGGTGCTAACTAAACACCAGTTGCTCATTTGTAAAAACTTTAAAAATCATCGTGAGATTTTCTTTTTAATTCATATTTATATCGCATGTTGGTCAGATTGAGGCATTGTGTGGCCCTTCCAGAGAAGACGTGAACAAACATTCATTCCCTCTAGATGTGGCACCAGCTCTAGGCCCAAGAGATGACCCCACGCAAGTCTAGCAGGTTACTTACAGGAGCCCAGGTGACTCAGTGGCAGGCACTGGAGCTCACCCTGGCGTGGGTGAGGACTCTCCAGAGATGCACCCTGCAACTCTCTGCCTGCCTTGCAGGCTTCTCAGTTCCCTCTGCTCAGCAACCGTTACTGCTTATATAGCTTCAGGGAGCGGCCTTGCAAAACGTGTCTTTTTTTGTTTGTTTGTTTGTTTCCTGAATCATGTAAGTTGTGTGGACTTTCCTTCTCTCTCCATCAGGAAGTGTTTCAGTCGGGAAGAACTAGAACGCCAAATGAGCAATATATCCATCACCCGAAACATTTGCCATTTCTTTGTGGTAAAACATCCAAAGTTCTTCCTTCCAGCTGTTTTGAAACACCCAATATAGTATTGCTGGCTGTTGTTACCCTATGGGAAAACACAGTAACAGATTTTTTTTTCTCTAACTCCAGCTTCACACTCATAGGCAACACAATCCCAGTTCTCACTCCCCAGCTTTCCTAGCCCCTACGGTCTGATTTTATGTGGTGGAGTATTTCAGACTGTACACAGTGAAGTGTGCAGTGTTACTCTTCTTATGTCTGGCTTATTCCAGCCAACGCAATGCCCTCTAGTTCTGTTCACAGCGTTGCACAGGGCAGGAATTCACAGTTCATAGCTAAACAGAGAGTGTGATGTTCTTCCTCCACTCACCCATTAGTGGATCCACATGTTGATTCACACACCCGAGCTTTTCGGAACAGTTCTGAAATAAGCTGGGCATACAGACAATCTTTAATGGACTGATTTTGTTCTCTTTGAATCTATGCTCAGCAGTGGAATTATTGGATGGTGTGGGAAGTACCCATGTTTTATTTTGTCTTAGAGAACTACCATACAGTTCTCCATAGGTGTATGCTTCAGTACATTCCCGCCAGTAGTGTTTCCCGCATTCTTGTTGGCACTTATCTTTGTCTTTTGACATAGCCTTTCTAACTAGACTGAGATAGCATCTCATCAGGGGCTGGATGTGCAATTTCCCAAAGACTAGCTTGAGAAATGTCTATGAAGGTTTATTCAGTCCATTCTTTTTTAAAAATTTAACTTAATTTTTCAATTGAAGATAATTTTTCATATAATATATTCCAATCACACTTTTCCTCTCATTTATTCCTCCCACATCCTCCCTACCTTCACACAATTCCAACTTCATGCCTTTTTTCTCTTCAGGAAACGACAAATAGGAAAAATGTACAAAGTAGAAAAACAAAAAACAAAGACAAAACACAAGAAACAGACACACACACATACACAGGCACGCACACACACACACAAAGCCTACAAAATTGGGAACCATAATATACAAGCAAAAGATTAGTAAGATTTAAAAAAAATATGACAAAAAGTCCACAAAAATGCCCCCAAGTTTGTTTTGTGTTGGCCATCTACAGCTGGGCTTTGGGCCTCCCTTAAATGTGGTTTGTGTACCAACACTTAAGTGAGACAACACTGGGAGAAAACCATTTTTTTTTCTTTGCAAATAGCCATCAATTGGAGCTAGCATCTTGGTTAGGGAAGGGAGCTTGTGTCTGCTGTCTCCTCTCAGTACTGGGACCTGCCTTGCTGACTGGGACCTGTGCATGCTTTGGCCCATTCTTTTTGTTTGGTTTTTCAAGACAGGACTTTCTGTGTAGCTCTGACTGTCTTAGAACTCACTCTATAGACCAGGCTGGACTCAAACTCCCAGAGATCCACCTGCCTCTGCCTCTTGACTCCTGAGATTAAAGACGTGTGCCAACACCACCCAGCCACTTTGGTCCATTCTTCAGTAAGATTACTTATTTTGTCACAAAGTGTTTCCATTTTTGTTTTCTGGATTTTAATTCCTTGTCAGATGCATAGTTTTCAAGAGTAGTCATGTATCACTTGAGGGTAAGGACACAGTGTAAGGTGCCGCGCTAGCACGGCAACTGTAGTTCTTCTGAGCGATGGACGTCCAGATTAACACGCAACACAACTTCAGGTTCTGCAGACAAGCCTTTATTCCACCTTCTTACACAGTATATATAGCCCTCAGCAGGGGAGGCCAAGTCAGCAACAGCAGGAAGCTCATCACCATAACTCACATGGCTTAGGGATAAACATCCTTAGAAACATTGCAGAAAACAGCAGATTGTTCCTGGTTTTGTTCCTGTTTTCAACCAACCACAAGAGTGCAAAACAGATCAAGTGGGGGTGCAAAGGCCTGTCCTCTAGGGACCCAACAGTAAGGAATGTATTCTTTGGTGACTTTGCTATTGTGGGGACGTAGAGTACACATACTAAGATGGCTATGATGTCACTAGGCGAGGTGACGGGCCACTGTCACATATGAAGATGTCAAGCACCTTGCCCCCCTTTCTGTAGATTGTCTTGTTTCTCTTTTGATTGTTTCTATTGCTGTGAAGCTTTTCAGTTTTCTTTAATCTCATTTGCTAACTCCCACTTTTATCTATGCGTTTGAACCGAATTTTCAGGAATAAGGGTCCTGAGTGGTGAGGTGCTGAGTTCAAGGACAGAGGACGAGAAATGGAGACGACAGAAGCCGTAGCTGGGACCAGGAGGTCTTGTGTAAATTATGGTTTAAGTCAAGCAAGTTCACTAGGAAGTACAAGATCGTACATGCTGTTTACGGGGGGCGGGGGGAGAGGGAGGGCAAGGTCAGCAGAGAGCAGAGTCAGACAGAGAATGTGGGTACCCAGATACAGCTGCCTGAGGACTGATAACTATTGTACCCAGAGTCCAGACTCCCAAAGACCAGCAAGAGACCGGATCCAATGCAAAAACAAAGAGTCTTTTAATTGCAAGTTCAAACCCAGGTCTTTTGTCTGTCTGACATGGCGGTGGAATAGGAGAGACTCCGAGCAGCACTGGGGCAGGGTATATGTTGGGGGTAAAAGCAAGGGGGCCTGGGGGCTACAGACTGCATAGGAACAGACTCAGGACTGGTGCACCTCTAGCTGGGGCCACCTCTCCTTGAACTGGTTAGTTCCAGCTGCAGGGAGATTGCTATCTCTTGGTGGTTGTTGTGGTTACTACACTCCACCTTTTATCAGGAAAGCACATTCAGAGCCTGCTGACTTAACTTCTGATTGGTTCCCTACCATATAGGAGGTATTTCTGAGTTTCTTTTTAGCAACAAGGGCAAGAAGAGGGGCATTGTACAAGGTTAGGGGCACAGCACATCCTGTCATATCCTGCTGAATCAGAGGCCTGCATCCTGCTGGCTCTCTTCTACAGCCTGTCATGACTGTAGAACGGTCAAAGCAGGGATCTGGGCAAGGGCCTGGACTCTTTAGTAACCACAGCTCAGAGGGAAGAGTCAGAGCCCCAGAAACTTCATTCTTGACTTGTATGAAACGCTGACTCCAGCCCTAGAGAGACCTCTCTAAGTTGACCCCTGGACTGAAGATCCCTTGTCCTTTAGTCTGGGCCTCTGAAGAAGTCTTGGGTAGGTCTGGCTCCCCACATGTTTTTACACTCATATCCAGAAAGTTCCTTGTCTGGACCAATATCATGAAGCAGTCCCCACCCCCCATAGCATCGTGACGCAGTCCCCGCCCCCTATAGCATCGTGAAGCAGTCCCCGCCCCCTATAGCATCGTGAAGCAGTGCCCCCCCCCCCCATAACATCATGAAGCACTTACCGCCTCCCCGTGTTTTCTGTCATTTTCATGTCTGGCCTCAAGTCACATCTCTTTTCTTTAGCCGAGTTTCACAGCTTCACTAAGTCTGATCTATACATTCAGGCTTCAGAGGTTAGAGACAGAATTTTGGGAGTCCCTTCTTCTGCCTCTTTCATCGCTGGGGTTCTCATTCATTTAGTAACTTTCAGATTGTTGACCTTCGTAGTGTTTCCTTATTGTTGTCTTCTTGAGGGAGTCATCTGGCAACTCTTTACTCCATGATTCCTAGAAAATTCTCATTTTATCTTAAAATTGGAATATAATTATATCACATTCCCCTTTCCTTTCTTTCCTCCAGCCCTTCCCATTTACCTTGTTTTCTCCCTGCACTCTCTCAAACTCATGACCTCTTTCCCTTTAATTGTTACACACACATGTCCACACTTCTAAATATATAGTTACAACCTGCTCAGTCCTGTAATGTTACTTATATGTATATGACTTCAGGGGTGACCATTTGGCATTGACTAACTAACAAATTAGGAGGTATTAGGAATTTTTCCTAATGTGAGCTCTCTGCCAACGCAAAAATCCCAATCAAGCCAAATCACAACAATTAAAGAATTAAATTATATCTTTATAATTAAAGAATT